AAGCAAGGGGGCTTTTTCGGACAACGCTCCCCAGACCCGGCGCTCCTGGCCTCCTCCTTTGTGTGACCTCCTTCTTTTGTTGTCTGCTTCTTCCTCAGCAGCTCTTCCCCCCCTCTGATAGCCTTTCGCCCTTTCTCTTCTGATTTCCTCCTGATTTCAGGTACCTGTTGCTCTCTGTGTGTAAAGGAAATGCTGTCTCCAGAACTACCACTGCTATGTACCCCACCTCCCCGACTACTTACCCAGTGCATTTCTGTGATGAGGACTTTCAGTGGGCCTGCATGTTGTCTCACACTAAGTTCAGCTCAGAGGGTGTGCTGGGTGAAGGGGAGTTTCTATGTGTGCTTGCAAACTACCTCTGTCTCCCCGTGATCGAGAGGGGCTCCTATAGGCAGAGCCGATCCTCAAGCCCCTAGCAGAGTCTCCGCCTTAGTAATCCCTGTGGAACTGAACTGTTGCTAACAGAAAGCAATGGCTGGAGACTATGGATACTACTCCAGGGACAGAACCCGAGCTACGATGGCCCTTTTGCTCCTAGAGTGGTAGGATAATAATTAGAATCCCCCACAAGTCAGGATGGGGCTGCCCTTGAAGAGGACACAGAGAAGGAACCTGAGCAGAAGTCAAAGTTGTCCTTAGAGTGGTGTGGGTTGCTTGGGAATGCTCCCGTGGCTCGTAGAAGCAGATCCAGAGCATCCTCCCCAAAAGAGTTCTAGGTTTCCAGGTCTCAAGGATGGACATTACGAACACAAATACAAGGATTTTCTAAATCCCACTCCCCAAATCTTCCCTCCTAAACATTCCTACCACAATGAAAAAGATCATTGGAAGCAAACTAGGACATAAAAATCCTTAATACATGCATGCTGGATTGCTCTTGCCAATTGTTTTTGATGACTTATGTCAGCGTGATGACCCAGGAATGACCCATGGTGGCAATACAGCAACAACTAACGTGCTTTAGTGTACCCTGTGTCCAGCGCTCTAACTGTTGCATCCCATGAAATGCCTCATTTAACCCTCACCACAACCGGTGTGACTTGTAGCTGCTGCTATTCCCCTACGCTGCAGATGTGAAGACTGGCTTCTAGAAATGTTAAGTATTTGCTCAAGATAACATCGCTAATAAATGGCTGGTGCAGGGCCAGAAGCCGTGGTTTTCCCCTCCCGACCAGTCAGTGGGGCTTGTGTCCTCCATAGCCACTTCAGTTCAGCTCTGCTTCCCTTTTCAGCTTACCGTGAAATCATTTATAGAATGCCAACTGACTATGTGTCTCATCTCCACCCCAGGGTGGACCTGACCACAACTACACCAAGGAGAAGATCAAGATTGTAGAGGGAATTTGCCTCCTCTCTGGAGATGATGCTGAATGGGATGACCTCAAGCAACTGCGAAGCTCCCGGGGGGGCCTTCTACGGGATCACGTGTGCATGAAGACAGACACAGTGTCCATCCAGGCCAGCTCTGGCTCCCTGGATGACACGGAGACAGAGCAGCTGCTGCAAGAAGAGCAGTCTGAGTGTAGCAGTGTCCACACTGCAGCCACGCCCGAAAGACGGGGCTCTCTGCCAGACACGGGCTGGAAACATGAACGCAAGCTCTCCTCAGAGAGCCAGGTCTAAGGGGCCACATTCTTCCCTGCCTGCCCGCTCCTTCTCCTCTGTGGACCTCTGATCCTTGTGCTCACATAACAGCAGGCCTCTTTCCCATGTGCTCATCTTCCTCCTCCCACCCCAAACTGCTTCCAAGCCCCCCTAGAACCTGTTACTCACCTGAGTCCACAACTTACCTGGGGACAAGAAATGAGGGCACATCTCAAGAATTTAGACCTGTTTACTGTGAACCTCACCTCTTGTGCTCCATCCTGGGCCCCCTGAAACTGGGCTCAGCATGATTCCTGGTCAGCATAGAGCTTCATCTCTCTTTCCTCTGGCACCTTCTGTGCCCTGCCCCAGAGTACCGATGCAATTGATGATGTAAGACTCTTCCCCAGCACAGCTGACATGATGGTTTCTCTGTGAACTGGCCTACTAGGGGCTGGGCCTGGAGGTCACAGGTAAAGGGTAATGGATAGAGGTCGAGAGAGGGGAAAATCATCCCAGCTGGTCTGGGTGTTTGGGAAACCTCCAGCCTCATATGTTGGTAACGATGAAAAGTTTGTGTGGGGTACTTGAGGCCTGGTGTCTTGTCCATTGCTGGCAGTGGACATTCTTCTCACCCAGGAATCACAGCTTTGTCAGCTGTGATACAGGTGAAGTGTGAGTATGGCTTAAGCTGTTCTTCCTGCTGGAATGTCTGGGGCCAATTCTACCTTGGATAACTGGAGGCCCCTGTCATGGTAACTCACTAATAGGAACTCCCTCCTGGTGCTGCTGCTGGCCAGTACTCTTCCTAAGCCTTTAACTATGCTGTGAGCTTGAATGAACAGCGGGTGGGCCTTGGAGACTAGACCTCTAAGACTTTTAAGAAGCTCTGCATAGATTAAGCACAGTATCCGATGGGCTTCACTGTTCTTTCCCCCATTCTCTGGGGTTCTAAGAGAAGCAATTCTCTAACAGCCTCTCAAAGAATGACTAGACATTTTCCTAAATGGTCAGGAAGAACAGCTAGAGAGAGACAAGATACCCAGGGGCCCAGGAGAAGTATTATGAGGTTCATTCTCAAGTGCTCAGGGACACAAGTTCATGGACACAACCTGGGACTTTAGGGTGGAAAAGCTCACTGCCAACTCTCCCCAGCCACTGTCCACACTAAACTGCCACCACTTGCGTCATGCTCCTTTCGACCAAGGGCTTCTCTCAGCAGAGCTGAGACCTTTTTGTGTTGCCCTAAAATGTCTTCCCGGCTCTTCACTTCTGAGAGAGGGGCGTCTAGGTTTGCTTTTTCTAATCCATCCTGATGGCACCATCAGTCTCACAGGTCCAGTGATGAAGAGGGCCAAGGAAGATGCAAAGTGGCGAGCCAGGAGAAGAAAGGCAGTAAGAACCAGTCCAGAGCAAGCCCAGGCACTTCTCTCTAGAAACTGAGGCACAGGAGAGACTGACAGGAGCTGAGCGTGGAGGGGAGAGCTTTTAGGGGAATTTTCCTGATTTAAAACATCTCTCATGGTTATTGCTATTCAGAGATCAGCAGCAAAGCATATGCATGAAAAACAGGACAAGATCAAATCTTCTCTGGTTAGTTACAGGAGTAGGAGACAGATGTCAAAGCATTAGTCTTGTTCTCAGGCCTTTTCCAGTGCACCAATTAAAAAAGTACAGTGCCACTCCTAAGAGGAAGTAGGGACATTTCACGCTGAATGAGGCAGCATTTGAGTCTTTAAATTCATAGTTGGAGAGGAGGAAAAAAAAAACCAAGAAGAGTAGCATTCTCCTGAGTGGAAAGGGGCAAGGTTCTTATTGCACTTGGGCTGTTTGGAATGTAGAAAGGACATATTTGAGGAAATATCTATTTGAGCACTGATTTACTCTGTACAAAGGGCAAAATCTCTCTGTCCTAAACTAATGGAATTGATTTTTCCCATGCTCATGTGTAATGATTTTAACATTACTTACTGGAGAGATTGGACTTTCTGGAGTTATTTAACCACTATGTTCAGTGTTTTAGGGCTTTATGATAATTTAATATAAATTTAGCTTTTCTTAATTACTTCGGCTGGCTTGGAGTCATGACTAATCTTGCACTTACACTATCTGGCAGACTCATGCTGTGGAAAACCTACTTGGGGACATCACCTCTTACATCTTCAGAGATGTGTGAACCATGAAGGGATAAAAAGGTGTAGGGTTTGTGTTGGAGTTTCAGCTCATCTCAAGAACACAGGTCAAGATGAGAGAGTTCACTGACATGTCGCCCTGATTTCCTCTAGAGGAAGGATGGCAGAGCGGTTTCATCTTGAATGCAGCTCATTGGGTTGATAGAAGCTGCCTGAGATCCTGTCCAGACAGGATCACAATCGTGATCATTAGTAACATCTCCAGGCTCCAGAAACTCTGTCACGGCATGTATACCATGAATCTTCTACTTCTGTTTTCGTTCACTGAGGTCTCCCATGTCACAGAACTTGACTTTGCCTTGCAATGATGGTGACCGGCAAAACTGTCCAACACAGTGTGAAAAATCCCAGAACAGGACTGGCTATATTTCCAGCCCCACACATGCACAGACTCCAGTTTTTAAAAAGCTACATTCTGCTGGTGTGGTGATGCACACCTTTGGTCCCAGCACTCAGAGGCAGAGGCAGGTGGATCTCTGTGAGTTCAATTCCAGCCCGGTCTACAGAGCTAGTGCCAGGACAGCCAGAGCTACACAGAGAAACCTTGTCTTGAAAAACAAAACAAAACCAACCAAAAACCTATTCTCCTAGTTTACCTGCTGTATGTCGAGGCTAGAATAAGACACTAAGGAGCCCATCAGGTTCTCTGGGTATGTCATTCCAGTTAAAGTAGGAAACTTTCTAGTCCTAGTGCTATGTACTTGCAGAGTTTGGTTTCAGGTTTCAATGGTTGATTTTCTAAAGCCTAAACTGTTGCTAGAATAATGTTCCCACTCAAGGTACCAACCATACCTAAACAATACAGTCTCAGTTTGGAGTGGAGCAGCAGCACCCTCGCCATCCCCTACTCCCCCAAAAGAACAAGTAGAAGAAAAATGAGAAAAGTAAGAAACTTGTTTTTGATTGACAAGAGATCTGGGTCTAAACCACAATGTCTAGTTTGGCCCGTTTGGGCAGTGGGTAGGTGTACCAGAAACAAAACTCAATGAAATAGTTCAAGGACAACTAAACCCATTCTCCTCCAGGATTCTTGAAAAAGAAAACAAAACTGCAGAACAAGAACAGAAGCTTAGACTCTTGAGGCTGAGAGGAGGGTTGAGAATCCTTGTCTGGATCTCCAGATGCAAAGCCTGAACCCTATACTGGCAGAAGATGCGTCAGATTCTAACCAACTGGGACTAGGGAGATAGCTCAGTCATTAAGGGCCTTGCTTTTCTTTGGGGCATGGTGGGCATGGTGGCAGATGTGGTAGACCAGCCTGTTCTAGTGAGTTCAAGGCTAGTCAGGGCTACAAAATGAGACCCTGTCTAGAAAAAAAAAAAAAAAAAAGGCAAGAATGATGACATGCACTTGAAATCCCAGCCTTGGAGAGGAGATCCCAAGGCTGACTGGCCAGCCAGCCTAGCCTAGTTGGTGAGTTGCAGGACAGTGAGAACCTCCATTTCAGTGTGTGTGAGGGAGTGTTGTCTGGATGGCTCATGAGGGGTGACACCCAAGGTTGTCTTTTGGCCTCCATGTACACACACAAATATATACCCATCACATACCCACTAGTGGTGGCATGTGCCTGTAATCCCAGCATTCTGGAGGCTGAGACGGGAACATTCTGAGTTTGAGGCCAGCCTGTGCTAGTGAGACTTGTCTTCATAAATGAAGAAAACAAGCTGGAGATGTCTCTGCCATTAAGGGCACTTGCTGCTCTTGTAGAGGACCTGGGTTCAATTCCCAATATCCACATCGTGACTCACAACCACCTGTAACTCCAGTTCCCAGGAGATCTGACGCCCTCTTCTGGTCTCCATGGGTGCCGGGCACATTCGTGGTATAGGCAGACAAAAACACTCATGCATATAAAATAAAAGTAAATATATTTTTTTAAAACATCAAAACGGGTTGGAGAAATAGCCTGGCAGTTAAGAGTGCTTTCTCTTACAGAAGACTCAGGTTTGATTCCCAGCACCCACATGGCAGCTCACAACCACCTGTAATTCCAGTTTCAAGGAATCTGACTTTGGCTGCTTTGGGCATTGAAAGCATAGAGTGCACATATAGGTACATACACTTTAAAAAAAAAAATCAACAAAACAAACCTTAACCATATTTTTACAAATTACATTTGAAATGAGGTCACTGCCTTCAGTATTATAAGAACAAAGGGTGGAACCTAAGATGAAAAGGTCTGTGGCCCATAGGACACGCTAATTAAGATGGTCTAGTGAAGAGAATTTTTATATTGATTGTGTGTGTGTACACACACACACACACACACACACACACACACACACACACGACATTGCACACATGTATAAGGCAGTCAGAGGAGAAACTGGGAATCAGTTCTGTGACTTGGGAACCCAGGCCGTCAGTCCTGGCAGCAAGCAGCGTTACCCGATGAGCATCTCAGACTCTGGTAGGAAGTTCTTTGTGACATGAGTTGACACTTATCCAAACCTAGGCCTACAGGAAACCGAAAGGCAGTGATGATGAGCAGTTTAGCAGCGTTTGCAAGGGCTGAGGGTGGAAAGGGTACTAACATTTGAAGAGTTCTCGGATTTCTATTTACGGGCATAATTACAAAGGAAATGTGGTCGAGGATCTGGGGATGTAGCTTACTGATAGACCTCTTGCCTAGCGTGGGCACAGAGGCCTGAACTGTTCCCTCAGCACTGCCGCCACACAAAGGGGAAGAACAACTGAGTCTCTTTTGTGTTTTTTCAGGCTCTATGGCTTTTCCTCATTCAGAAAGATGACTCAAGTGTTCAGCCAGTTTCTGTTTCCAAACATTCCCTTGCTTGCCTATTTATTTGTCTTCTAGATCATTCTCCTGCTCCACATAGGGGAACAGTTTTATTTCCAGTTAAGACTCCGGCTCCAAACTTTGAATTCCTTAGCGTAGTGCTGAAACAGACGCAGATAGCCTAAGATTCTGAGTTTAAACCCAAGGTTAAGTTGGTTACTAAGCTACCTAACCTACTTGTTTCACTTAGTTGGACATGAAGCGCCAAGAACTCACATAGCCTCTCTTTCCCTGTGGTTTAAGAACCACTGTTGATAGTTAATGAGGCTTCCGTCTTTCCCTCTGCCTCCTTCCTCTTTTATGAGGCTGATGTTTCTGTGGTCAAAGTTCCCTGGAATAGTCTGCATTTTGGGAGCTGGAAGAACGGGCTCTTAGAAAAGGAAAGCCATTGTTTACAAGGTTATTTTTTCCTTCATTTAACCGGCACCTATTAACTGTGACAGAGTGCATGCCAGGAAAGGCTTCATGATCTCGGAGCCCAGTTAAAGCACAAATCCTGTAGCCACTTGAGATGTGTATTAGTGTCACCATCATCTCCAGAGGATTATTCAGGAGCATGTCGACCAAAGGCAGAAGGACTTCAATCACTGAAGCTGTTCCTCATAGGCTGGAAATAAGGAGCTACATCCCAGGGTTGGGATGCGGTTTGTGATTATCACCCGAATGAGCACCTGCTCCAACCCTAATGGACTTTTGGAAATGCCTAACAGTTACTCAGCAGCCACAGTACTTGACATGAATTTCCTGTGTCTGGATCCAAGAATACCGTGTTCGCTCTGATCCCTGCTATGTACTGTGCTAGGCTACGCCTGTGTAGAACCATTGGGAGGCCCCTGGGATGAAGTCTCAAATAACTCTAATAAGTGCACAGATAAGTGCTGTTTAATGATGATCCTGGGCTGCCACAGGTGATTTGGGCCAAACACTTCCTGAGCACCTGCTACTGACGAGATTCTATGTAGCCTTCTGCAAGACTCAAGCAGTCCCGCCACTCTCTCTCTCCTCCACTATCTATCAGATTCATCTCCCTCCACTTCCTATTCATCTGCTCCAGCTACACTGGCCTCCCTGTTTCCCAGACCTGTCAGGGATGCTTCAAACATAGGCCTGACTCTTTTCCATATAATCATGACTAACTCCTTCATCTTCAAGTCAGCTCTAATGCCATCTCAACAAAACCCAAACTGACTACTCCTTTAAAAATTACTGTCCTAGGCAGGCTGTGGTGGTGTGCACCTTTAATCCCAGCACCCAGGAGGCAGTGGCAGGCAGATCTCTGTGAATTCAAGGCCAGCCTGGTCTACAGAGCAAGCTCCAGGCTAGCCATGGCTGCATGGTCTGGAAGGGGAACTGGGGAGACGCCTTGCCAGCAGAGTGCTTGTCATGCAGCAGGAGGACCCTGAGTTCAACCGTTAGTGCTAACACCTACGTAAAAAGCTGGCTATGGTAATATCTGCTTGCAATCCCAGTGATGGAGACTTGGAGACAGAAGGAGTCCTGGAGCTTGCTAGCCATCAGGTCTAGCCAAATTGGTGGGCTCCAGGTTCAGTAAGAGAGCCTGTATTTTAAAAAAAAAAAAAAAAAAGGCGGGTGGTAGTGGAGAGCAACTGAAGAAGACACTAGATGTCTACTTCTGGCCTCTACAAGTACACACATATACGTGTGTATATAAAATTACAGTCTAAGAACATACTGCATAATTTATTCGTGTTGATTATGTCTCCTCACTATAACATGAGCTCCTTGAGTGAAGGGAATTTTTGTGTGTGTCTGTTTTGTTCACTGACTATTCCAAATGCCTACAACAATCCCTCTCCATACTAGGAATTCATAAATATTTGTCAATGTATAAGCGAATGGATTCAGACATCTTAGATGCACACCTTTAACATAAGGTTGAAGACAAAAAGATTTTACCATTCTGTTCTAAAACTCTTCAGAACTCATACTACACACATCCTTTATTGAGCAAATTTGAGGTAACCATCAACCTCTCCTTTATGTGTATTCTTCAGATTATGTCTGATAATATTTAAATAAACTCTATATGTTTATGTATATAAACCAATGGCCAAT